TAAATTTTTAATACAATAAAACTTATAAAACTTGAAAATCATTTTATTAACTAACGACGCGTACTAGGCTATTGATATGGAATAGGGAACCAGTTGATGTAATTCCGAAACTAATAAAAAATCCAGTCTCGATAAGTCAATTTTTTCGGGAGTTATCGTAACCACATACAAAATAAACATTCTGAGCTCAACGTAAAATTTTATCAAACCATTTTTTATCAAAGTAGCAATATAAAATGAGTTTTAGAAAATATAAGATAGATTAATTAGAGTGTTTTTTTGTATATACGGCTACTCATATTAGTGTTTAAGTGCAATATGGTTATGATAGAGGCATTTCAACACCAACGAATTGCTTGACCTTGACGTGGCGAGAGACTAACTAATAACGCTTTGCGTTATGAGGCGTACAATATGTTTAGAGGTGAATGATTTGATTGCTCTTTCACCATGTCAATGTTGGTTTCCGTTTCTAATTTCTCATCTATTTTAAATATATAAAATATAATGTAATGCATAAGACATAATTAATCATATATGAATATAAGAAAAATTAAATAAAAGTAGTAATGAACTATTTTGTAATGTGAATGTTTTATTTCGCAGTTTTATTGGGCCACACATAGTTGAATCGAATTTAACATTGCCAGAAACAAGTTTAAACACCATGTTATTTTGGCGGAACGAGCTAAAAATATCACAGTAATACAGACACGAAACGTGCAGCCATTTTAAAACGACACTAGCCACTATATATTTGCGTTTAGAGGTTCTACCCATTTCTGCATTCGATATTTTCACAGAAGAACATTGCTTTACAGGTGATAGTATCAGTGTGCGTTTTTATGTTTTATTCATTATGGGACTAATTATGTGGATTTAATTTTCAAATTACTGTTAATTTTCACACTGAACTAAGTTTACTGAACTAAGTTTTAACTAACTAAATTTACAATAATAAAGATGCTTTGTTATAAAAAAGTAGTTTCAAGTTAGTCTTAGACTTAAAAAACAATGTGTTTCACAATAGCGGGATTATAAAAGGTAAAAAGAAGTAAAGTGTAGAATTAGACAGCAAATATCAAACCATATTATTATGTTTGTATGCTTAAAATAAGGCATGTCTTAATTACAGTCAACCATTGGTTGTAATTAAGACATGCTTGTTTTCACTTGATCTGTCTTGGTCAAAGATCGAAGTTTGTGTTACCCAAAAAAAACGTTGTGATTTTATACCATATGTTACCTTATCAGAAATTTTCGCAAATTGGAGTGATTTATTCAAAATTAATGTTGACACTGATTTCTTTACACTCTAGTAACTGTTAATGTCAGTGCGTACTCACTTGACAGTAAGACAATAATTCTGCCGTTCTTATGAAGAGTGCAATAACTAGGTTTTCGCTATTATCGAGATAATCGCTGTTAATGATTTTATTTTTGTTTTGTGTTTATCTTTGCAACTATGATAGCTAGTGATTTGAAACTTTTACTATACGACAGATAAAATGATGCAGAACTCTGTAGTATTCTGTGTGTACTTTATGCACATTTATATAGGCATTAATAAAACAATAATTTATTTATCGTTAGGACTATTAATTGTTTTGTTTTAATTTTATTTTGTTTTAAAATTTATCGTTAGGAATATTAATTAATTGTTTTTTTGTACTAATTGTATTGCAATAAATGTCTTAGTTATTGCGGTTTACATTAGTAAAATATTTTAATCATACACAATGCAACGATGGTTGATTGCGAGAATATTATAAGTTTATGTGAAAAATTACTGAAACAAAATTAATGTATATGAAAACATTGATTTATTGTTTTAAAATCATTGAAAAAATAAACTGTTGTGAAAAAGATTACATAAATATCACTTTACTCCCTAAAATTAAAAAAAATAAATCTTTTCAAACCACTTTAAGGTGTTTTCTTTTACTCGAATTATGTAATCACAACTTTAGGAAAGTGAATATAATCTTTATCGGTAGAAAATTCTTCCTTGTCGGTTTGGTATTCATCTCTAGCTTGTGTGTAACGCAACTTGTTTTTTCATATTGAAGACACAGTTCACACTTTCTTGAGAACATTAATTATGAGAATTATGTAGAGCACACTACTCGCTTTTCTCATTATCGAGATGACTAAAGAAAACGCTTAATTCTTTTACAACCTTGCAATATGTTTCGAGAGATATCTGTTTATTAGTATATTTCTCTATAAAATATTGGTGCATCATCATAATATTTAAGTCAATGGGTAAATAAAAGTTATTGGCATGCAGGCATGTTCGCGGCGATAATGTAATACTGTTGCATTTAAACTTGAAGGTTCTTTAATTATGTTTTTGTCTAATGAATTTTTATGTTCATAGCTTCCCCATTTGTCTCTTTGGTGATCATTTTCCTTACGGAGTGCCAGATGAATATTATTTGTTGGCTTATATCCGAATGTTGTCAGATAAAAAACCTAACAAACTTTTTTTATTGTTAACACATAAATGATGGCAAAAAGAAATATTTATTTTTTTGGTGGTTATATTGTCCGTATTTGTTCGGGTTGTTACAGTATATGGTTCAACCATGGCGTTTATAAACAACCCTCTTGACTCACAACCTAAATTTATGTACCGGTCGTTGATATCTCTTCAAATTTCTTCTGTAAACTTGGTCATACACTTTTTTCTACGTTTATCATCACATGGTGGTTTTAATGCTAACTTTGCATCAGCGCTTTTTTCTTATGTTTGGTATGGTTTGGTTTGTTAAGTTTTATAAATAAGAATAGTAAGATCAATATCTCGAACCACATTAAAAGAATTACTACATATATTCGGAAATCAAAAACTGTTTTAAAATCGTTGTAATCTGGAGGACGTGACCAAAATTTATAGACATTGGTTCTTTTTGAATAGCAGGCAACGTCACTGTATCAACGTCAGAATCTTCAATTGAGATTAAAGATTTAACTGGTGATGAATGAGATGCTATCGTTCGATAGGATATCGATCACTTAGTGATCGATATCCGACGAACTTCTTACGCGCCCGCGGTGCGAAGCCATATCACTTCTCCTCAAGTCACACCCCTCGCGCCCTTTTTACTACTCATAACCGCAATAACTTGAAGACAAATTGTGATTTAGTATATATAGTCATTCAAATCTTGTCTTTTTTTTCTACAAATAATTGCACTAACTTTACTTGTTATTTTTAGATTCTGTGAGTTTAAAATTTTAAATAATAAGATTCCTTTACATATCTCAATCTGCAATAACTCTGATTTGTTGCGCTACTGACTAGTAAATGTTCCACTTAATTGAAAAAATGCGCTAATCATAAGTGCATTAGCTGGACTTATTGCGGTAATCTAAAGTAATATCACAAAATATTATCGCTAAACATGCCATAACTTAAGTTATTTCGTTAATGATATACAACTTACAAATGGTAATATTAAATATTGCAGTTATGCTTATCAAAAGAACCGAATCTAATATAAATACAAAAAAGACGTATGACTACGGATATGTACTGAAGTCAGTTAGCCCAAAAACCCGAGTTATTGCACTTATCGTAAGGACGGCAGAACTATATGATGTACTCCAATTAGAACCTTAGTTTTTTTTATAGGATAGAATGATAAACGAGCACACAGTCCACCTGATGGTAAGTGGTTTCTGTGACCCATAGACATCCACATCTATCCTCAATAAAGAAACAAAATGCAGATGCGTTGTCACCCATAAGGAAGATAGAATGCCTCTTTTCAGGTAAAAAGGGTCGCCGGTTCTCTACACTTACCATACGAAATACAGAATTTTTTGCAATCTTTAAAATGCATGGACCAATAACGATTATTGTTTAAATGTGTGTTTCATTTTCTTTTTTTTTTTATAGTAGTAGCGTTACAAACGAGCACACAGTCCACCTGATGGTAAGTGGTTGCTGTGGCCCATAGACATCTTCATCTATCCTCATTAAAGAATCAAAATGCTGATACGTTGTCTGCCTTGAGGACTAAAATGCAATGCCTCTTTTCCAGTCAAAAGGGTCTCCGGTTCTATACGAAACATAGCAACATTAAGCTGCTATTTTACGCTGGTATTCTGTGAGATCGTGGTCCTTCCCCGGTCGAGCCAACCTATTCGTGCTACAACTATACTATTAATATATCTGCAGCATGGCTCTACCACGTATAAAAATGATACGGTGCTTATGCAAATCCTCAGTTGTGACCTTTCGTTGGTTTTAGAATTTCACATACAAACTTTTTTGTACTGTCCCTTAACTTCTTTTTAGTTTTGAAAGTGAATATATTTTATTCAATATTTTAAAGCATCTATTAGGAAATTACAATCTACAATATTAAAAACTATTATATTAACTATTATTACTTTTAAAGTAAATAATATCAAGCGAATTTTAAATAACTTAAGAGTGGATCTACGTATCTACTGCTGCGGTAGTTCAGAGCTAACAGCGCACTGAAATAGCTGGCGTTTTTTTTCCTTCTTTTTTATATAAACTAAAGTGACACTGTATGGTAAGTGGCTACTGCATCCTCAGCCAACTTCGGAAAAAGAAGGATACAGATGCATTATCCCCTCTGAGAAATAAACTAGAATGCATTTTAGCCTGTAATTATACTAACTCTCCATAAACTTAATGCCGAAACATAGTAAGTACACGCACTTGGCGGTAGAAATACTAAATCTTAGCTACCAAGACGGACTACTAGGCATAAAAGTGGTTATTCGCATTTTGAGTGCTGTTTCACAAAAGGATCGGCGATGAAGGAAAACATCATAAGACAAACCTGCAAGTCTGAGATTGAAAAAAAATATTCAGCACGCATTTAAGCAGTGCAGCAACTCTCATGTGCTTTATTTAAACTCCCTTAAGTATGAAAAGAGCTGAACTCTACAGGGGGACATAAGTTTTGTTAGTTTTTATTTTAAATAATATGCTTTCTTCAATATAATTTTTCTGTTTTAAATTCATTTTCAGTTTAGATTTTTGTTCAGGCACAGTTTAGCATTCATTCCGTACGTTGCGTTACTCCCTTAAGCACTAGTATAAAAATCTGCGTTTGTTTATTGACACGTCTCTTTGTTTTACGTTAAGGTGTCATAGGTTCTTCTTATACTTCATTCCATCTCAGCCTTAAGCTCTTTTAGCCTTCTCCTACTAAACTTCTCCTCTTTGAATCTTTAATTTTTCCATTATTGTTCTATGCGATTGTTTGTCTCACTGACACTTCTCAGGAACTGCTAAACAAGTTAGACAGGTAATTTAATAACAGCATACCATTTATCTTTGGCTTTTGAAATACTTATAATCACTGTTAAAATGGCAGAAGATACGCCAGCGCATTCGACACTATCCATTTCGATATCTGCATTACTAACCAAGTCACTTCAACAAGTTATTTTTTTTTAGAATAAGTGTGACAAACGAGCACACAGTTCACCTGAACGTAAATGGATATCTATCATGTATCCTCGATAAAGAATACAAATGCAGGTGCGTTGTCAGCATTGAGAAATAAGATGGAATGCCTCGTTTCCAGTAAAAGGGGTCCTCGGTTCTCTACACCAACCATACGAACACAGTAGCAATAACCTGCTATTTTACGCTGGTGTTCTGTGAGAGCGCGGTCCTACCCCGGCATAGCTAAACCATTCGTGCTACAACTATAATATACCAGCAGCATTTTTATTTTGTTTTACGTGGCAGAGATATGCTGAAGTCAACTTCTTTATATTTAAAAATAACATAAATTTTATTTTACGTTAAAACACAGATTCAGTGGGCATGAATTGTAAGAATTCACACATAAGTCACAGTCAATTCTGATTGACTGTGAATTGTGTGTTAAGCTAGAAAGAGGATTACTCAATTCGTCAATTGACAGTTTTAGCTCAGTGTCACAAGTGACGTGACGAGCGACAGGAATGTTTAGAGCGCGTGAGGCTGTTTGTATTCTATTTTATTGTTGCGGTAAATCTACACAAATAAATAAAATTGAAGTGTCTATTTGTAATGTTAAAATAACAGCTTTTTACTAAATGCATATGAAAGTATATACGGTACTAATAACAAAAAAATACAATTTTTAACATTTTTGTATGTCTGTCTGTCTGTACGTCTGTCTGTCGTACGTCTGTCTGTCTGTTTGTTCCGGCTAATCTCCGAACTCCGACGGCTGGACCGATGTTGACGGGACTTTCATTTGCAGATAGCTGACATTATAAAGAGTAACTTAGGATTCTTTTATTTTAGAAGAATCAGGGTTCCGCGCAAAAAATCAAAAACCTTGAAATCGTAGTAAATTTTACGCGGGCGAAGTCGCGAGGGCCAGCTATTATAATATAATTTAAGACTAATGTAATCTTCTGTATTTCAGGTCACAGGACGGGTCTTACTGTTCTTATTTTTTTCATCATTATCATTACATTATTATTACAGCCTACAAAAGGATAAACATACGCATCCTATTTATTACTATTTTTCAGAGACTGGTAGGTATTTACTTTACTCATAAGAACAAATGATTGTTTCTTTAGTGGCAACCTCGTGCCGGAAGGCGCAATGTAAGGCAGCTCCCTACTAGATGGACTAACGACCTGGTAAGCTATTCATTAAGGAAGGTCTACGTTCAGCAATGGACTTGTAATGGGCTGTAAAACTGATGACTGTGAATTTACTCATAATTTATAAATATTAAGTTTACTATGATTAAAATATTAAACTAAGTAGTATGTATCCGTTCTGTTTTGATTTTTACTCTTGGCAGGTGAAATGCAGTCTGCATCGTAGTCCGTCTTCTTGTACCTTTAAATCTACTCCTCATTGACGGTTTGCGTATTATAAGTCTGATTTATACGGGTCGGTCACACCGCTGACTATCGGAATCCATTAGAACTTTCTAGCAATTCCCATAGTTGCCTCTTACGATACTTACAGCACAATCTAACCAATACCACATAATATTATTATATTTCATATTATTATTAATGCCAGGTCAGGCTAAAATCAGTAATTGGGTTTAAATCAAGAAATTCTCAATAACAGTTGATCAGTCGCCTCATTTCTCTCCAGTTGTGTCGGATTGACGTCTCATCACAATATACGAGTAAGGTAGAATAAAATAGAGATTGCACCTGTGCTTGTATACACGCCCATGCACTATAATCCTGTCCTGCATGGGACATTCAATATTAGTAAAGGGTGAATTATTACTTTTTTCCTTTATGTAATTTAATAATCTCTTGTTTTAATTAAATTTCAATATGATATGTCATTTGTTATAATTTAATTTAAGTGCTTATCTTATTTTTATTGCAATCATAATTAAAAATGTTTATATTTAATAATAATTAAATTATTAAATGATACTACTATTAATATAGATTTTGTTATTAATAAATTGCAATTTATAAATTATAATAGTATGTTTTTTAAAGGCTAATTTACAATTGTATTGTACTTTATTAACATTTAAATATAAAACATATTTATTACTGCACATCATAACCTTCGGTTGAAAAATAATACACGCCAGTTGCATTACCAGGATTCCAAAAACCAGCTGTAGTTACGTCATTAGCTGAGCAACTGCCGTCTTTGTATTTCTTGTATGTGTCACATTTATGTGCTGGGAACCATTCCGGATGGCTGACTGTAGCCGTCCATAGGTCTATGCAAGCTCTGTGATTACATTTCGCTGCCTTACTTGAATCGAAAATCCCAGGGATAAATGGTGTCTTACATTTAGGTTGCGATTGTCCTTTTTTGTTCACAAAAAAGTCTATATCTCCTAGCACACTTGTTGTTCCTAAGCCACCAGCATTGCAATGGTATACTTCGACATAATCAGCGACTCCAGATCTGACTTGTTCTTCAATAAAACTGTTTGAGAAACATGGACCAGCTGGGTCCAGTGCAGTTATTCTTGATATCTTCTGTCCCGTGTTTTCGAAAAATATTTGCCCAGTATTGCCGAGAATTTGACCTCCTAAACTATGTCCAATACAGTGTATGTTCTTTGGTGATATGCCACCTTCCTTTAAGCCAGTTAACATCTGAGCTAATGCTTTCCCAATATAATAAACGTATTTGACTGATCTCCCATAACTTTTGACTTGACCTTGATTAGCATTTGTGTAAGGTGAATGATCAAGTATAATTAAATAGCTGTTTGGAAAATTTCTAAACGTATCTCTTATTCGCTCCTCCGTTCTCTTGTTGATATTAGATTTGTAACCTCCAACAAATATAATAAATTTCTTTGTTTTATCTATTTCTTTATAATTAAGAATTCCGGGTGCTGCGTTTTGTATTGAAAATATTTCAACTTCACTTCTAGAAAAATCGTAAAAATATACATCGATTTCACTCACGTCGAGATTTAATGTCCTATTATGATTACCTGTTAAAATCAAATTTTATATAACCGGGTTGATTAAAAAATAAATGGAATGAAAACTAATTTTATGAATTTTATCGCATTTAATTTTAAGTCTTTAATTACCGACGCTTGTATGTATGTGCTTTACAGAACCCATGGTTATAGGTGGGGGGAATAATCCCGTGGATGTCGTAGAAGTGACTAAGGAGAACCGAAACAGCAGCCTATCTTCTTCTTCGTCATCTGCCGTATGAAGATATATAAAAGCATCTTCCTGATAACAGTTCAATATTAAAAAATGCGTTTGCCAACCCATCTGCCGAGAGATTGATTTTTGACTTGATTGATGAGATTATCTATAAGGAAGGCCTTTTTTTTTCAACAGTGGAATTTTGATAGGCTATAATCTTCTAAAGTTATCCTAGTTCAATTTGTGTGATATTCGCGTATATTAAAAAATTATTATAAGCAACTTGAAACTTACATTTTATTAAATTTGAGCGTAAGGCAATTTGAAAGGGTCCATATTTCTCCAAGTCACCACGGCCCCAAGCGTTGACGTAGAAAATCAAACACGTTACCATGCACACGAATAACCAATACATTTTTTTATAAAATAAGGTTAAACCGAGTAATTGTTATGGTCTACTGCGTAGTAGAATCTAAACTAATCGCAATCGTTCATTGTCGAGTACTGTAATGAGATCAACTCTAAATGCCGGTGACGTAAGATAACGGTAAACGTTTGCATGATATAATGCGGTTGAAGCAAAGCGATCACCTGTATTAAATTGTAGTTTAGTCATAATTTTAATTTTAATATTAGATATTTTCACCCAATATTTTTTAGAAGTTTTCGACTACATAGACAATTATTATCGATTAAATGAGAGAATGATTTATAGAAACATTTTTGTGGACATGAGTTGAATAAATTGTAAAGACTTAGTTATGAAAAACTGCATGGAGCATTTTTTCAAACGAAACAATGTCATATATTTGAAAAACATAAAAGGAGAAAATCTTGTGCAACCGACTTACTGCTATTATTGTCCACGTGGCTTAATGATGGTTGTTTGCCATTGATAAATCTACCAATGACAGATAAGAAATTATCATTGATATCAACGTGAACAGAAATTTTATATCAGATTATCTACGCATCTACAGACTATTCTTGTAACATTATTTTTATGATTATTTTTATGTTTACCGTGTAGTGGTGGTGTATGAATATCCACTACAGCATATCATCTCATGAGAGTTGTAAGAGACGGCAGAGGGAAACAAATCAGAATATGGGTAGCTACGTCTTCTTAAAACCGACTAAAAATAAAAAAATATACTGAGGTTGCCAACTCGCTTGCCAAGCGTATCAAGTATGGAAAATATCCCACCTAGGAGGAAATCTATGTGGGAGGCTTTTATAGGCTTTATAGGCAGTAGACTTTAATGGGCTGTAACGGTAAAAAAGTATGTAAACATTCAATACTGTGATTGCTAATGTATCAGTTAATCGTGAACGTTACGGTAAATCCCACCAACTAATATGCGTAATATGTCTATCAATGAATGAATGGTTTGACAAACAAAGCAACAAACAGCAAACAGTATGATTAGTTACGAAGTTGTGACATGTGACAAATGACGCAACATAAAGATGAGAGGGAAAATCCCTTTCGTATTTGAAGAAATAAAAACAAGGAAAATAATCTGCATGTATATATCGAATAGCAATAACGTTCCTTTGTTGCTTACCTCTGGTGCAAAATGAATACATTATGTTGAATGTAAGTAAATATATAACGGCTAAAAGACAAAGTGCGAATAAACCTAGTTTTAGCCAGACACAATGAATGTTAGATTAGAAAAAATAATAACTTCAGCTTTATCTCTTATAACTTATACTTTTGGTAGATGTTTAAATATTTTATCTTTATATATAAAATTATGGTGTGCTTGTGTTCATAATAATTCTCCTCTTTAATGACTTGACCAATTTAATGTATTTTAACGTGGTAAAGCCATGCTGCAGCTATATTAGTAGTATAGATGTAGCACGAATGGGTCGGCTCGACCTTACCAATACCAGCGTAAAATAGCAGCTTATTGCTGCTGTGTTTTGTATGGTGAGTGTAGAGAACCTAAGACCTTTTTTACTGGAAAAGAGGCATTCCATCTTAGTCCTCATGGGTGACAACGCATCTGCATTTTGATTTGTAATCGATGATAGATGTAGATGTCTATGGGCCACAGCAATCACTTATCATCAGGTGGACTGTGTGCTCGTTTGTCACCCTATACTATAAAAATTTTTTTTTTCATGGCATACTTATGAAGTCACCTGGATGGTTCTTAGTAATTAGATCCGGTAGACACTGTTGTCGAGATCCAGAAATCACTCGTGCGAAGCCGATGCGGACCACTAATTTTTGACTATGATGTAAAATTTCGGTGGTATTTAGATTTTTTTAAATAATCATCAATACTGTATAAGTTGTTCGATTGAAAAAAAAAACTCTAAGGTTTTTAGATAAATTATAGACTAGATGACTCCTGGCATTGCTCTCGATCTCTTCGTGAAGTTTCATTACAATCGAACTAAAGCTAATCGGAGAATAGCTCGGATAGACAGACAAAAAAGAAGCAGACAAAAAAATTTACAAACAGCTATTCATGTCTTAACGGCATGCAAATAACCTCATAGCTTGATACGAGTATAAGGTAGTTATTTCGATATTACAGACATACACTTCAATTTATTTATAATAATATTATATGTTTTATACATACAATATTATGTACCTAAATATATATATATATATATATATATATATATATATATATATATATATATATATATATATATATATATATATATATATATATATATATATTATATAAATATTATTAAAATTTTGGTTAATGTCTACTACTAGCACTACTGGCACTGCAAATTTGAATCAAAGTTTCAAAATAAAAAATATTATTAAACATTAAACGTTTGTTTCAATTGAATTGGTATAACTAAATGTAGGTAGGTAAGTATATTTGTTACAAAAGTGGATCTTTTGTCTGTATCACAGTCATACCGAATAGTTTTTCTATCTTTTCTTCTTTAATAGCCCGTAAAAGTCCGCAGGACAGGGTTTCTGTAGAGAGAATTTGCCCACTAAGAGTCAATAATACCAGACTACTTCTAGGATACTACTTCAAACTACTACAAGGTACAAAACTGGTACTGCGGTTGTCCATCATCATTTCAATATATTAATTACGGCAATACCGTAGTGATAGCTCTATGTACCACAGTGTTTTTACGGTTTTATGATTTTACCTTTCATTCACTCACTAGTTATAAAATCATCCCGCGAGCACTAGCATAGATCGCTGAGTACAAATATAATCGTCGCTGCGACTGACAAGTTCCATATGTGATACTTGTAAAGTTTTGGGAAACAACAAAAAACGTGTTCTTGAATAAACAAATGGAAACACTGTCAAATTATTAATGCAATATATAGACTCGTTTTTTTCCTTCTTCCCTCTTGGATTCCACACAGAGCGGACGTGTCCGCAGTCATTCAACTATAAATTTTTGCCATTTTCCAAGTTTTATTTCCTTCTTTTTTTTACTGCACAATAAAGAGTATTGTGTAGTAATGTCCTAATTCACATCTCGATTTCTCGCCTGTTTCATCACATTTCTTCTTTCTGTCTGTATTGTTTGTCGCATACCCTCTGTAGCTTATTGAACTCAATTTTTTTTTCTATTTATTTCATCGTCACTATTCGAAAACTGTCTCAGGGCGCAAATCGCCATCTATCGGCAATAATTAGTAAATAATTGATATATGGGCGCAAACCGCCATCTATCGGCAATAATTGGCAAATATTGATATTTATGTTTTAGTTTATCGTTTAAGTGAATATATTAGTATAGAAATATCTCAAATATATAAGATTTAAATTTAAATAGTTATTTATAAACATAAAATTGTTACTTAATAATGTCTGATATTTAGTAGACACTGTTTTGACTGTTTGAACATTTCTAAGACGTTTGATGCTTCATTTATTGTTAAAATACTCATTTTACTGTGTAAATGTTCAAATTATTATCTATTAGAATTAATATCATTATTTTGTATCAAATTTTATTATTTTATGTAATAAGTCTTGTTTAATTTCACTTGAATCTTGCTTGCAGCGCCACCTCTTAACAGTATTAGAGCCCGGATTATGACTGACTATGAAAAACTAATGTCTATTTAAATTAAATGAACAAAGATTTATATAATATAAATCATTTGTAGTTATTTAAATTATTAAAATATTTGTTATGAATAATGAGCTCTATTTTAAGAATTATTGTGTAGTACTTAATTTTATTTGTTTGATTTAAAAGAAGTTGTATTTGCTATATCCATGTTTGTAAGGAAACTATTGGAAACTATAAAAGCGGTTGATTTATGTAAAGACTGTTCTGTTCTGTACCAGCAATTGTGCGAAAATAAACTACTTAATATTTGGCGTGCTATTTCATTGTGATGGACTCAGAGTGTGAAAACCCTGGCGCATCGCCGACATATACTATCGTTGCCTTCGTATATACCAAACCATATTTTAATTCGTCCTAGTATTCCTATCTTTACATCGAGGAAGTAGTTTGCTGCTCTGTTAACTGACCAGTGCAGTGGTTTCTAAACACAGTAAAAGTGGTAGGTTTATATGGTAATTTATCACTAACAACTTTTACTGTGTTTTATCACCTAAAATTTTTTTATCATATTGTTTACACCACATAACTTACATTGCTAATACCGTTTTCGGGCAACTGAAGGCGGAACACAAATCGGTCGGTCAAAAAACATATGCAATTTGTTAGGATCGTTTCTAGTTCGTTTTAAGGTTTTGAGGTATGTCTGACGAGAAGATGTGTCGTAGCTTCCCGAACGCTGCTCAGCCGAGTTGTATCCGTCGATTGACTTCTCGGTCGAAGTTGGACTTACCTAGTTGGACTATTTGTCCCAGGTAAACATACTCGTCAACAACTTCGAGCTTAGTGTTCCCAACGACTAACGGCATAGGTGTGACATGGACATTAAACATAATCTTTGTTTTGTCCATGTTCATCTTAAGACCTATCCGTTTGGAGACACTATTGAGGTCATTGAGCATAGTGGTTAGGTCCTCCAGCGATTCTGCCATAAGGACTATATCGTCGGCAAATCGAAGGTGAGTAATGTACTCGCCATTGATGTTAATACCGTATCCTTTCCAGTCCAGAAGCTTGAAAACGTCTTCCAATGCAGCAGTGAAGAGTTTCGGGGATATAACGTCACCCTGTCTTACACCTCTCTGCAATTAGATACTTCGTACTCTGGTTCTGTACTCGGATAGCCATCGTATCTCTACTGTACAAGCACTTCAGGACTTCGATATACCGACAGTCAACTTGGCAACGCTGAAGGTATTGCAGCACCGCCCAAATTTCAACGGAATCAAAGGCTTTCTCATAGTCCACATATGCCAGGCATAGTGGCATATTGTACTCGTCGGACTTCTGTACAACTTGCCGAAGGGTATGTATGTGGTGTATGGTGCTGAAGCCCTTTCGCGAACCGGCTTGTTTGGGAGGCTGGAAGTCGTCAAGTCTGCGTGCGAGA